GTCGTCAAAAGCCTGGACCGGTGATTTGACCGTGTCTGTGTGGACACTTTTAACGGCACTACTCATCCATTTCTGTGGATCCTCATTCGGTACGCGGTTCAACGAGCTGATAGTATATTGCCTTAGGCGCATGACTGTGGTTCAAGGACTCAGTGCAGTTCAGCATGTTTTGGCCGCTCACACGGGAACGGTCGATACTATTTCGAAACCAACCAGTTCCTCGGATCAGCCGTGGTGGTCTAATGCGGACAGTAGTGCATCCATTCCAGNTATCGGCACAAGGCGAACAAACCTTGGCCAATCAGGCAACGCCACATCACTCAATGACCTATATAACGAACAGGACACTCGTAAGCGCTCACCCAGTTACTGCATTGAGAATGTCACCTCGATTGGTGATGAACCGTTTGCAATACAATTGCCAAGCTCGGCGAACAACTGAACATCATATTGTACCACCCGAGCTACAAAAACAACAATCAACATCGTTGTTTACCAAACTGTCATATATATATTCGTCACAATAATCTTATTTGCAACGCCGGGTAACTATTGGATAGGTAGCTCTTCCAGAGCCAGTCCACTGATGAATCAATGCCATGATTGGATGATTTTGTAAGTGGGTTAGATGCTACTAACCGCAACAAACGTGACCTGATGGCCTTAGTAGAATATATGATAATAAGTAGTATGTGAATGACTGGACAAAATTTCCCTGAAGGCACACGACCGGTTTCTCGGTTCTTGCCGCTCGTCAGGTATGCGTATGTTGCAAACAAGATTATTGTGACGAAAATACACTTCCTGGGTACAAGTATATGAATGAACTGACAAAAGATTACCAAATACGCATGCCTGACGAGCGGCAAGAACCGTGAAACCAGTCGTGTGCTTCCAGGGAAATTTTGTTCAGTCATTCACATACTACTTATTGTGATATTGGATTTTAGACAAGCCTGGTGCCAACGCCACAACAGTAATAACAATAACAGGGGATAAGAAGATTGGGATACAGAACAAAGTGGGGAGAAATGGAACAGTTATAATGGAAAATGGTAGATAACTGGAATAACGAATTTTTGTGTGTGTGTTTCACGTCACACTTCGTGATATCTTTTTGTGTTAGTTTGTCGTTCTTACTGGGTTCGGGATTTTGACAGACAGACCATACAGCATTCGCGCCACTGACTTCTATTCTGAGCCATATCCCTCAGCGTCTCTAACCATCGGCAATCCTCATCCATTGGGATCCAACCTGCAAGGTGAGCTACACTAACCAAAGCCATTGCTGAGACTAACTCATTCACACCTCTACGCTATTTCATGGTCTGACTGCTGCGGCGCTCCTTCCAGCCTTTCCCGGCATGTGCAAAGAGAGCACGGAAAGGTAGTTAATGCGTAGGCATACGCAATAAAGGACCAAGCCGTCGGAGGCGGTGTAGAGCGATTACTTCTGTTAGAGAACGACTAAAGCTCTCGACCATCTCGATCTGGTGGTCAGAAATACTAAATACAGACACAGGCATCTGCTAGTCCTGAATAAGAACCTTCCACTTTCATGGTGCAAAGCACATGCCATACCTGGATACCTCTATGGCCAAGTGGTTTAAAGCGTGTTAGACTGCCTGCGCATTGTCACCCATCAAGGCGATGTCATCGGCATATTCTCAGTCAAGAACTCTGTGCTCTGGGAGGAGTTCGACTCTACCGTTTGCTAAACTAGACAAAGCATCTTGCAGAACATCCTCTTTGGCGAAGTTGAAGAGGAATGGGGATATAGGATAACCTTGTCGAACTCCACCGAAGAAGCCAAAGAGTGGTGAAAGCTGGCCATCGGCCCTAACCCGACCCTAGGTGTGACGATACAACTGTTTGAAGATCGATGCATACTTCTTTGGTACTCCACTTCTCAACACAAACAGTTCCATAGTGCGGTCCTATCGACAGTACCAAAGGCCGCGCGAACGGCTAGGAACACAATAATCGTTGGTCTCAGGTAAGCATGACGGTGCTCTAGCAGCTGTCGGAGGGCGAAGATTTGATCGATGCAGCCACTATCGGCGCGAAACCCAGTCTACTCGCCGACATATTCCTCACGCAACCAACCTCACCGTGGTAGCAGTCTACGCCCCCAGGCTAGTATCCGACAGCTTAACGAAGGACGAGTTCTACGACAATCTCCAGGAGGTAGTAAATCGCATCCCCAACAGAGATGTACTTATCGTTTCGGGAGACTGGAATGCTTAAACGGGTGGACAAGAACCTTCAACTAAACATATAATTGGAAAGTTTGGATTCGGGCATCGCTGCGAAAATAGTGACAGGCTAATTAATATCGATTTCAACCAGCTATCTATAACCAACACGTTTCTTCAGCACCCCAGTAAGCACCTTACCTACTACTCCAATGACGGTATGACAGCCATTGATGTGCGGTGGTCCAGGATAAAAGCTACAGTGCAACAAGCTGCACTAAACAAACTTGGTACCACGAAACGCTGCTACAAAGATTGAATATCAGAGAAAACCACCTGTCGCTCAACCCTGGCCAGGAACGCCCGTGTAGCTGGCCACCACGATTACCAGCGACTCAGACGAGAAGCAACCCGCTCCGCAAAAGCAGATCGGCCCAAATACTCGAACGAAATAGCGATCAAGATGGAAACCGCAGCCAGTGCATGCCACTTCGGAGATCTCTTTCGCCTCATGAGATCAGCGTCTGGTAGAAGGCAATCTTTACAACCCGCTCTGCGCTACTCCTCCGGGGGGATGATCTCCGATATCGAGGGTAGAATGATCAGATGGGTAGAACATTTTAGTCGACTTCTCAGTCATCCGTTGGACAATTCGGCGGATATTCATCCCGATATGTCGTCCTCATACGAGGTCGACTGTGATCCCCCAACGATAGAAAAAATTACCTCAGTGATCGGTCACTTGAAGTCTGGTAAGGCCCCCGGTGAAGACGGAGTCCCGGCAGAAATATACAAGAAATGGTCATCAAACCGCTTCACTTTCTCTTTCGCGCTATTTGGGAGACCGAAACATGTCCAACTGATTGGAACACCTCGTTTTTATTTCCGTTCCCCAAGAAGGGCGACAAGACACTTTGCGAGAATTATCGGGGCATCAGTCTGCTAGATGTGGCTGCAAAAGCGTTTGCCCAGCTTGTGCTTAATCGATTTGCTACAGTGAGGCATGCACGTACGCGGCCAAACCAAGGAGGCTTCCAACCCGGCAAAGGATGTATCAATCAGATTTTCATTCTAAGTCGAATTCTGGAACACCGATACAAGTCTCAGCGCCCCATTGCTACATGTTTCATTGACTTTCGCGCCGCATTCGATTCAGTAGATCGCGAGTCATTGTTGAAGATTATGCCTGCAGATGGCGTCCCTGCAAAGTTGGTCAACATAGTATTACATCCAAACCAAAGCCCATAGGTACGGTCTGCCTCTGGAAATCCCGTGCCCCGTAAAAATAACAAAAAAATATCAAAAATTNCGGTGAAACAATTTTGTTATGCCAGTTATCTTCCGTTTTCCCATATTTCGCTGTTTCACCCTCTTTCCACTTTGTTCTGTAACCCAATCTACCCATCTCCTATTATTGTTATTGGTAATATTGTTGACGTTGGCAGCATGCTTGTTCACTAGCCCGTGTAAAATACATAAATATACCGATTTGATTGCGGAAGCAGCACTAGGATTGCGGCATCGATTCTCTCAAATGGCAGACTGTCTGATCTGGAGTATACAGACGACATTTTGCAGGTAGGTGAAGATCTAGTTAATTTGCAAGCTTTTCTGGATGCCCGTGTTCGGCATTCGTTTTGCGTCTTCAATGTGTAAAACGTTGCTTCGTGACTGAGTTGGTCTCGCTCCCAGCCTCACTGTTACTGGGGCAGTAATAGAGCAAGTGGATAAGTTTTGTTATTTGGGCAACTATATCTCACCTGGTGGATGCATCACGGATGAAGTGTCGGCTTGCACACAGAACGCTCGATTGATGTTTGCCAACTTGGTACATTTGTGTCGCTGCCGCGACATCCGGCTGTCCGTGAAGGGTCGAGTGTATGTTGCGGCAGTTCGGTCAGTTTTGATGTACACCGTAGAAGCTTTGACAATAAAAAATAGGATAAAGATGGACTGTCGGTGTTTGGGCATTGCTGTCTACACAGCATTGCACGATCTAAGAGGATTAGGAATCGCATTCTTGCCACAGCAAAAGCGATCGGANTCCGCCTACATACCCCCGTTGCTCCCAAAACAAAACACTCGGTCTTCTGTAGCCTACACCACACACTATTTATTATCCTTTGTGCTTGTAGGAATTCTGAAGCCTTGTTCGAAATGAGACATTTTGTTTTGTATGTCAATTTACCGATACCCTTATCGTTAGTCTCAATAAATTACTCTTATCGTCCTATCACGGCTTTGTGGATTTATAACACTGTTAGTTATCGGTTTGCTCCACCCTTTCTTCAGCGGTCTCATTTGTGATTAGTGTTGTTCGCGCGGTTCTGAAATATCAACCGAATACCAACAGTGAGAAATCCCTAGATGCATTTTCTGTCTACTCTCTGCGTCTTATTCAAATAATGAAACTGATCAATGCATATGTGAGCAACTTCAAGAACAAACCTCCGTTCATCGATCAGTCTTCTCTCGGCAAACTGGTATCGGAATTGCGTACGGTCGAACAATGTGCAGCCGGCTTGTTGGAATTTTGCGAATTTTCCCGACAATTGGAATCCCGTCTGCGCAGTCCGATGAAGTTGGGTATCACTTCCGTGGAACAATTAGTTACCGCTTCACGAGACGGTTCAGCCTTCCGACAACTTTTGGCGGGTTGGATGAACATCATCACCAAGTTAACGATGCTCAAAGACATCAAATCACAGACCAGTCCACCAGTGTTAGAGCCAGAGATCTCGCTTATGGAGCTGACGTAAGTCAGTCTCTTCCGGCTTTTTCGCTCAAGATTCATCTGTTTTATCGAATCCTTGATACGACCACTTTTCATTCGCATATTCTTTTACTTTGCATAATTTTTGTGAGTATGTGATTTACAAGGTGTTCTCTGGATACCCCTAGCTGTTTGGCGTACTCTCTCGTAATTCGCTTTATTTATCCCCTTTTTCTCTGCTGATGAGTAACAGTTTGGGGTTATCGAATTCTCAAAACCTCCGGCCTCGGTAAACAACACCAGCCTCTTACCTTCGTTAGGCGATATGCATGTGTAATACTTCTCTGTGATGATTATTGAGCGTTTCAGATGCAAGCTAATATTAAAAGTAACGAGTCTTCTATAAAATGTGCTCGATAACCGATATTAGAACATTCCGGGGCAGAAGTTACCAATAAGATTGAGTAGATTAGGTACTCACGTAACTTACACAACTGCTCTTATATTCTAGTACATTAGTCCCCGAAACGTCTGAAATCTCCGGTGGATTCCTATTGATTGAGGATGTGGAGGAGGGGGAGGAGAGATTACCATCACTGACTTTTTTCGAATCTCACCACTACCACCGGGATCCATTTCTTCGTCCCTGGCTGCCGAGTTTGATTGTCATTTTGTTCCCTTTGAAGAGATTCGTCACCTAGTTGTCTAATCCGTTAAGAGCTCGAAAGTTTTTCTCCACTGTCCGTCAAATCATGTATGATTAACCCTGTAGAAACTGCAACACCTAATCCTATATGTGTTCTCAGTTCTAACTCGAAAAAGGACTGTCTTCTTGGCGTTATTATTTAAGTGTCCGTTTCTCATCAACAACGTACATACTCTAAATACGTGCAGTAGTTGTTATTGTTCGAAGTTTTGATTACTCGTTAGCTATTCCATTTCTCTTTCCCGATTGGGATAATTGTTTTCTTTTTGTTCTTTTCGTTCCTTTCACGCAGTGAAATTGTTCGGCGGTTACGTGACATCTTGTTACGCATGTTCACCGACTGCCCTGCTGAAAATTGGATCCCACTTGGATTACAATTCTCTTTGTTGGCCGCGGGAAATAAAATTTTACTGTCTGTTTCCAGAAAACTTCTGACGGGTGGCGATACAACGAGTTTGCTCTCCTCGGACTCATCCAGTTGGTTTAACTGTCTGCTTCTGGCAGTTCGTTCGTACGTGGACGCCTCGGTTCCGTCACCCATCCGTGTCATTTCCGATTCGTCGCTAGTGGACCCAAACGAACACCTGGCACGTCAGTGTATTAGTCTTTTCCGTAGCCTTCCCGATGTGTCCGTACAGCAGTGGAGCGGTAAGTTCGACGTTGAGGAACGTCTTCTGAATGCATCGTCCTATTTAGCTGAGGTTCGAGAACTAACGGAATCATCATTAACTCATTGGAATCTGATAGTAGCTCCGCGACAATTACGTCCATTATGGTGCGATGCTCATGACTTGATTGCTACCAGTCAGCGAGTAAATCTGTTTCAGTTTTCACTGGACGCGATTATTGCCAGCAGAGTAGGCGGAAAACGCGCAAAACAGCTCTTTGCGAGACTTGAACGTGGGAAATTAACGGAACTTGGTCAACTGTTCGACCTTTCCCCCGATCAGACCGTGATCTGTTTTCTTCAAACACTTCTCAGACGTGCGGAACTGGCCTATCAAGAAGAAAAACAACAGACAACTTCAACAAGACAGTTAGAATACTGGATGCCCAGTGCCTTGGTGTTTCTGACGGAAGCTATGAGTAATGGAATCCCTTCCTATTGGTTTGTGTGCGCTCAGTGGGCCGGTTATCCGCTTGAAGAATATCAACATGTGCGTGTTCTACCGAACAATATGGTGAATAGACAGTTGATCGACGCGGCTTGGACGCCTTTATATGCGTTGTTTGGAATCAGGTCAAAAACTTGCTCACATCTAGATGAACGGGTCGAACGTTTTCGTGTTCGTTTGGCTCTTTTTGCAACGGCTTATTGTCCAGTAGAGCATGTAAGTGCGGTCTATAGACTCTTTCTAACGGGCATGCATCGTTTAGCGTGTGCTTTATATGTCGCACGGGGTCATAAAAAGGATACCTTGAATGATCGGTTACAAAGTGTCTCTACGAATTTAGATAATCTTATTGTTGATCATTGGTACCCTACCGGTCAGTCGGATTCACTCCAACCCGTTGCCGATAATCCTCTGGCGCTTCGACTACCTCCGCTTTATCGATCGTTAACCTTTGCGGACAAGGAAAATCCGACGGATTGGACAGATGAGAATAAACCGCTAGTGTCCTCAAAACAATGGTCTTCATGGATTTTTTATTTAGAATGTTGGCTCGGCAAGCTACCTACAGATTTAAGTACATTTCATCAATCTTGTCTGAATGCCGCATTTGAAGATACGCGGCTGAGCCAGGCGTTCGCTTCATTCTACGCCCATCTACCGGAACTCTGCGGATCGTCCAAACGAACAGACACTTTTCTCGATCATCTCAATGTATTGTCTCCTCGTACGACCGAACCCTTTGATGGATCATTTTGCATTACACGTCCCGTATTTGCCGATCAGCTTCGACTTTTCTTGGCTTTACAAGCACTTCCTTACTTTGTTAATGATAAAGATTCGCACTACACGCCTCACACTTGTTTTCCTTCGGGAGCCGCAGAGCTGCGTATGTTGGCGACCTGTTCCAAACCAGTGATTAGTCAATGGTCGCGCGATGCTGTTTTTACCTGTCTAGCACAGGAATTGCAATCGGTTTTACCCCATATCGATTTGGCCTTATTCGATGCGGATTTAACGTATAGGAAAGATGCTGTACTGAGCGTGTGTCATTCCCGACTGATGTTTGGTCTTCGATTAGCCCTGTTTTGTCATTTATCTTTGGAAGAATGCTTTTACGCTCGATTGACCACTCTGTTCGTGGATAGGCAAGTATCCAGTGAAGCGGAGCGATCCGAGACAAAGACCATTCTTCACTGGCTCGATCAATTTCCCAATGGTGTCGATCGATTTGTTCACTGGATGGAAACAGCTATCTATCCCTGGCTAGTAGGCCTCTTCTCTCCACAATTTCTATTCAGTGTGATGCCCTCGCATTCCTCATCAACTTATGTTGCCGGTTTGACCGTTCGAACCCATCAAGACATTCTTCGTGTATTGCAAACTAACCCGGGTTGTGTGAAGCTGTTTGCACAGCTCTCCTATGCGAAATTGATCGCGATGCTTTTACACACTAATGATGATCCGCGTGCTGATCCACAAACCGTCCGCAGTCAACCGAAGTCGTTTCGAGAACACTTGCTCTATCCGTATATGACATCCGATTCGGTGGTGGATGGAATCACGCAGATCGTATCAATTTTAAAATATTACAGAACGGATTCCCCCCTGTTGTTTTCTTCCGAGGATCTGATTGCCATGCACAGTTTGCGCGTGCTTGACCAGCTGGAAGAAGACAGTGATGTGTCGTTCGATATGCGTTCGCATGTGCGTTGCACTTTGGCGTCGATCGTTCCTTCGACGAATGGCAGTTCACTTGATTCTGTTCGACTGGAAATGTGGTTACAAGACGTGTTATTCTATCCTCAACTGAAATATCTTTCGATTGATCGACGTCAATTCGTACTGGATGAAGCATTGCAATTTTTACTCAAGTAAGCCTCGTTTCCTTCACACTGGCTTCTATGGTCATGTAATCTAACTCGGTCATCAAGCTTTTTCACACACAGTAATGGAATACAATTGTAATAGAACCCAAGTAACACTCAGTGCCTCTTCTCCCTAAAGTAGACATCGTCAAGTTGAACCTAAGTTGTTCGCTCCGCGGACATGTTAGCTTTTGTAAGGGATGATTTGAAAATAACACATTGCTCTGCCCCTAGCGTGTAATTCTGAGGAGCGATCAATGCTTTATTGCGAAAGGTTCTCCTTAGTCTTTTGTTAGCTATTGATAGCAGGTCTTTTTGTTCTAACAGGTGTCGAATGTCCCACTTGGTAAGTAGTTGTGAATTGGTAGGCCATCCGACGCTTCACGGAAAGCCATTGGGATCATTCGACCAGCGGTGCCCGTGGATAATATAAAATTTCTCCTATGCCGCGTGTGCTGCAGTCCACGTTCTGTTGTTACGTAACAACCATTGACGCATGCGTTGGTAGTAGTTGCTATTGCAAATGCACGGGTAGTACATAATCTCGTAGGTTTTGAAACTACTATGTTAACTTAATCATTCCAGCGTTCACACGATCTTGCAGCTGTCCATAACTAGTAAAGATTTTCCTGAACCGCATTAATAAATTGATGTTTTTTATGTGAGAACAATGGATGATTTGTTGCAATTTCTCGAGGGAATTCGTTGTATATTGAGCCAGTGTAATGTGAACTAAAAAATTGCAAAGCAGTAGACAGCAGTTTCGACCTGGTCCAGTCTCATCAGCGGTGCAAACCCAATATTGCACCTTATCTTATTTGGAGCCACTCGCAGTCCTAGAGCTTGAATCACCGATTTTTTTTCACTTATGGCTTTCGTCCCTTCTACTGTCCATCACAATGCTATACATGTAACGCGATTTTGTGAATTGTTGGTTAATCGATCAAGTTCTTCCACATTCACACAAATTGTGGGATCAATGCCCAAGTCAAAAGTGTAATTTTATTTTTACATTTTAGACGCGTGGAAAACCAGGCGACCCAATCCGGTCCTACATGGCACTCCCTGTTGAATCGCATAGTCGCGTATCAGGCTCAGGTGGAACGTGTCAGCAATTTGCTGAATGGTGTTCACTTCCCTGTTCGTCCAGAAAAAGGTAGTAACATTCATAACATGCAGCCTACCTCTGAATTCTACGCACGATTTTTACAAATTCGACCTGATCAGGCAGACTCCGCATTGCAGCTGCTCTGTGAACTGATTGACTGCGTCCGGAACGATCACTCCGAATGTGCGGATCATCCGATCGCCGATCCCAGTATTCGATGCTTGAAGGATAAACTACACTGGCTTACAAGCCATCTGCCGGACTGTTTTCGCGCTTTGGCTTTACAAAATGAGGTATTTTTTTTGAAATCAGGCCTAATCTCGTGTCAGTTTTCGCACATTCAAAGCATCGTTTTTATGTGACCTCACCGACTCGTTCGTGTAATCACCGTGGCTATCGACCATCTGCATCTTCTTTTCCACCCTTTAGTATGCTGTTGTGTTAATCGCGGACAACAGATCATCATATCCCTTTCCTCTCTTTTTGAAAGGTGTTGTGGTGTATATGGGGTTGGAGAAGATCAGAAACTGATCCAACTGTGTGTTTAATTTGTGCCAAATCGATCCCAGTCGGTTTGTCAAGCAAAATATTTTCTTTCAGTCACTTGTAAGAGTGACATGATAAGTGTTTCAAAACATTCCGGTAATCTCGTTTCATTTTTCTATTGAAAAACATCGAACTGATTGTGTAACTAGTCACTATTATTTGTTTACACAATTTCCTCAGGTTAGACTTCTCAAGCTCTGTCCGTCAATATGTTTGCGGGCTCTCTTTGACAACGTGCTTCACAATACGTTCTACATTAGGTCAACACAGGTACCACGATACCAGTCTTCCTTGTCGCCATTTGGATCGATTTTATTTCTGTTCGGTTGAATTCAGATACCCAGCAGTATCGTAGACCAACACCTTGGTTCCAGTCACTGTCCTTGAAAAAAACTAACAATAGAACAAGCGGAATGAAATTAACGTGTAAGTTTGATTATAGAGATGATATGATAGAGAAGATGTATGAATACATTGTACGCGACTCTCTTCAATCGCTGTTAGTGGACAGCTGCTATCTACGCTCTTTGTGAATCAAGCGTATCCCGACAGAGGGAGCTAGTCGCATTAAAAAGTAATGTAATTTTCGGGGATGTTCACTTGAGAACAGTATCTTCCGCACACTTCACATCAGATAGCCCTCATAAAAGCCGTTCCACCATTTTCACAAGAAAACAGGAAAAACTCTGAAGTCTTATTCATTTCGTCTGGGAAAGCATAACATCAGCACTCACTCAACAATAAACCTTAGCGAGACATTCGAAAGCTTTTAATCGATTTCTGCTATTTATAACTAGGAAGTAAATAGGAGGAGATTTCGTGGCACATATGTGACTAAAATTCTCGGCGTATAGTGTGCGATTGAAGCGGTCAAAACTCAGTTTAAGATTGAGAAAGACAAAAGCAATGGGTCTGTAACTTGGGCTTTTCCCCGGATATACTGAACTTTAACGTTTCTACACATCTAACCTGGACCTCTCTCATTACCTCTGCCATTTCTTGCTAAAATCCAGGTCGGCTCCAAAGTGATGATTGAAGCTGTTGCTTCCTTAGTTCCACTGTCACCGTCTCTATCACAAATCGCTGTGGTCGAATTCGGCGGATGGGATCGTTCAAAACGATCGGCAGCTTCTGTTGACTTTTCGGCACTTTATATTCAATTCCTGAACAATGCAATTCAAGATGTCCCCGACAGGGATCGTCGCTCATTTCAGATACGGCTGTTGGGAAGTATGTTGGCCAACGAGCGTATTCGACGTTCGCAAGGCTCCAATTTAGTGCGAGCAACCAGGGATATGCATGGAACGACCGATTTTGCACGACTGGTTTTCCGTGAGTTCGTTCATACCGCCAGCGATTTGGCACTACCTCATTCGACGATTGACAGTTTCATTACCACTGTGGACAAGATTGTGAATAAAAACCGGGGAGCCACGGAAATTTTTTCTGCTATCGATTCGCTGCTTGAGGCAGCCCCACGATCGTCTCTCTTGTCCGGGGACTCGAAAGCCGTAGACAGCGTGCATAAATTGATTGATTTTGTGCAAACCACCATCGAGCTCGCCTCATTGTTGTTGTTGCATCCTGGTAAGTTAGTCTGTTGACCATCGCCTTGGATTTTTCTTTTGGTTTTGCTTCGATGTTGTTTCAGTAACACAAGCCAGTTGCTGTAAGTTAAAATGTTTTTCTTCATATTTCACACACATCTGTGTCAAGCAAATCAAAGTACAATAATCTTTATAAGAAGAAAAATTTTCAGTTTCAGTTTGAACAACCAGCAACCATGCATTTTCGTGCACCGGTTTTGGTTGCTGTCTTTTGGATGCCCATTTGGGTAAATAATAGGAGAAGAACAGGAAGATTGAAGGTAGAGTCGAAGAGAAAATTGAGTACTCCAGTAAACTATGGTTGCAAAGAAATTGACAAGATGCAAGAACGCCACTGTTTACGACACTCAGCCATATCATTCAGTCTCTAACCATCGGGTACGATCTTCTCGAGGTCCCCAGTCAGGGAGCCTAACGATACCGCTTGGTTTCTCAGGTTAATTTTCTTGGAGAGTTCACAATCTGAGCCTAACCTAGGC